ACATCTTCCCCCACAGAACATCCTGGGTCTGCAGGGGATCCCTCGGCAGTTTTTCCTGCAGGTGTACGAGACGCTGCGGAGAATCGGGGAGACCAGGTCAGCACCATCCCTGTGCCTGCCCTGCTCCATCCCCCTGCAGCGGTGGGGTCTGGGGCTCTGCTGCTTCACTCCCCATCTCTCTGGTCACACCTCGGGCTGATTTCTTGGTCACCGCTCGGTGCTGTGACACAAGTGCTGGTTCTCACTTGTTTCCATTTGAGCTGGAAATCTGAAGATGGGGAAGCACACGGGCTCACAAGCTGCAAAAGGGGAAAGTTTGGGCACGCTTGTCCTATTTTCTGCTCCCAGTTAGGTACACCACGATTTTGCCAGCCCAAAGGCACATCCTTGGGTCCGTCTGTGTCATGTCCTCCTCCAATTTTTGACAGTCCAAGGGGGAGCTCAGGCATCCCTATGCCCCCGCTTGCCCCTGTTGGCTGCACCCGTGGCTGGGGGTCTGTGCCCAGCCTGGGTTTCACGCACAGCCCTGACACCCGGGGTCAGCTCCATCACGGTGGCAGAACACCTGCCTGGCTGTGAGGGACAGCGGCGGGAGGTGGAGGAGGCAGATCCTGCCTAAAGGATCCTCTCCCTGTTGCAGGGGACCTTCTCCCCTGTTTATGGAGAACCCACAAACCCATCAGCATTGTACCACTGACTGGGGGACACCCCCTCCTCCCTCGCCTGCTGCTCCCCAGAGAGGCGATGTGCTTTGCCAGTGGTGTGAAGATGCTGGCAGCGTCTCTGTGCACCTCTTCCTCCCGTGGGGCGTTGGGGTAGCTCTCCCTGTGCCCCGCAGTGTGTTTGGGCTGGCATTGATGTGCCTGTTGCAGGGCTGGGGATGCCATCCTGGGACTGGCCTGCCTGGCTGCGCTGGCAGGGCTCCGGGTGATGAAGAGCCGCTTGCCCCAAGCTGCCCATGCGGAGCCGCTGGCTGCCAGAATCAGCTACCTGATCGTCTGGACCTCTGCCACGGGTGCGTTGGCCACCCCCTGCCCTCTCCCCTCCTGGGGTCTTGTCTCTTCGGGGCAGAGAAGAGACAGCCCAAAACCAGTAAAGCTCAGGTTGGCAGGAGCTGAGACCTGGGGGTGGGTCGGGGAGGACGACGTCCCCCTGCCGCTGTGCGCGCCCCTTCCTAAGGCTTGGAAGAGGTCGGCAGCCCGAGTCCCCACCTCCGGCCGTACCTCCGGCCGCCCTGGGCTCCGGGCAGGTTTTCACAGCTGCTCTCTCCGCTGCAGCACGCAACGCCCTTGTGGTCCTGTTTGCTGGCCTGGTCGCTTACTCCTTCCAGGTGATGGGCTCCCAGCCGCTCACGCTCACCGGCAGCATCCCCCAGGGTCTCCCCGCCTTCCGGCTGCCGCGCTTCTCCGTGGCTGCGCCCAACGGCACCGTCCCCTTCTGGAGCATGGTGGAGGTGGGTGCCAGGAGGAGGCTGGGCTCCCCGCGGGCTGCTGCCTCCTTGCCCCTGCATTTGCTGGCTCCCTGCACAGCGGGAGGAGGCTCTGCTGTGGGGCGGCCCTCGCCCCTCGGTGGCAACGCTCACCGCATCCTTCCCTCCCAGGACATGGGGGTCGGGCTGGCCGTGGTCCCGCTCATGGGCCTGCTGGAGACCATTGCGATTGCCAAGGCTTTTGGTACGGCTGTGCCGGGCGCCTGCGCCTCTGCTCGTGGGAGGGGTCTCTGCAGGGGGCTTGGGGTGCTGGGGAGGGTGCTGTTCCCATGGGGGCAGTGGGAGGGACTGGGCTGCCAGTGCTGAGCCCAGTTCATAGCGTGGACTGGCAGGGGGGGGCCCACTGGGGGGTGCTGACCCAGGCAGCTCCCCCATGCCTGAGTGGGGAGTGGGCTGGGGGGTCTCTGTGTTGTGTGCAGCCAAAGTTTGTGTAGGAGCTGGGTGTTGGCTCAGGGTGCTCCTGCGCCCGGAGGGACTGGGATGGGGCCCACGGCTGTTGCAGGTGCTGCTTGTGCCTGCAGGAAGCTCAGGGCAATGCCGCTCGTCTTGCAGCCTCGCAGAACAATTACAGGATTGACCCTAACCAGGAGCTGCTGGCTATGGGTAAGAGGCCTCTCGGACCAAGAGGGCAGGGGGTGGGAATCTGGCCTGAGTGGCACCGTGTGTCCCACAGCTCCTCAGCTACCAGAGATCCCCATCTCAGCAGTTCTACCTCTACCTGAAGTGTTACCTTTTGTACCTTGCATGCTGCCCCCCCCTCAAGCCTTTCTCACCCCTCAGCAATTTCCAGAGCAGCCTGAGTCCAGCTCACATGGCTGGACAGGGTCTGATCCAGCCCTGGGTACCAGCTCGGGGATGGAGGAGGTGAACACAGAGGCACAGACCCGCCCCATGGCCCCGGGCAGTGCCTCCTTTAGCTGCTGCACCCCCAGCCCCTCTCCTTCCCCGCCGCAGGCTTTGCCAACGTCCTGGGCTCCTTTGTCTCGTCGTACCCCATCACGGGCAGCTTTGGCCGGTGGGTAGCAGGAGGGGGAGCAGAGGATGCTCGCCGGGGCTGTGTGGTGGGAGGGCTCTGCAGGATCTTGGGCGGAAGGTTGTGCAGACCCTGGTGGGTCCCTGAGCTCGTGTCCTGGCTGCTGGGCTATGCATGGGTCCCACGGTGACCTTCCCTCCCACCTCACCTGCTGGGAGCTGTGGACTTGTGTTTCTCCCCGGTGGGGTCTGACGGGGTGGGTGGTTTTCCTGGGTGGGGTCTCTCGGGGGTGGGGGCAGCTGCCGTCCCCAGCCAGCCCCAGCACAGCCGGGGACAGCACGTTGCTTCGCCTTTCAGGACAGCGGTGAACGCGCAGTCAGGTGTCTGCACCCCCGCGGGAGGGCTCGTCACAGGTAGAGCCCCCCACCCTGCCGTGGGCTGCTCTGCAGGGCCCGTGCCCAGCACCCGCTTCTCCTGGGCACCCTGGGCACTGGGGCTCAAGTGCTCCCCGTCTCCTGCAGGCGCCCTGGTCCTGCTCTCGCTGGCGTACCTCACCTCGCTCTTCTACTACATCCCCAAAGCGGCGCTGGCTGCCGTCATCATCTCGGCTGTGGTCCCCATGTTTGACGCTGGGATCTTCAGGACACTCTGGCGGGTTAAGAGTGAGGGCATGAGCCGGGGGCAGTCGATCCCTTGGTGCAACTCAGCTCTGCCTGAAGAGCAGGCGCTGTCCCGGAGGGCCGTGTGGCACAAGGACAAGGTGCAGCTGAGCCTGGGTTGTCTCTCTTGCAGGGCTGGACCTTGTACCCCTCTGTGTGACATTC